CTTTGTCCTCAAACACAGAGAGAAATAGAGAAAATTGTCTAGATGACTTCTTGCTATTCCTTCAAACCTATCTGTCTTTGAAGCTAGTTTTTGTCCTTTGGACTGATAGAAATTCATTAGAATCTGAATCTGATGGCAACTTAAAAAGTTCATATGAACTTGCATATTTTTCAAGGACATCTATGAAGAAATCCGTAAGTGGTGACATCCTCCTCTAGATGACTAAAATGATGTGGAATTGATCTTGTTCACTGAGCCACGCTCCTGTTTTGTAAGTGTACTGAATTCCAGTGAATGTTGTCACTGTGGAATATGCAAGCAGCAACTTTCTGACTCATTTAAGATTTATTTATACAAAACAGCACAAATCCAATACAATGACAGCTACATTTACCAAAAATGGCTTAAGGCCTCTTGTTGAGAACGTCATCAAGAACACAGAAAACAGCTGTCCCACTCACTGTTCGTAGGATGATTGCTCCATTATTAAAGCAATATTTTCTTAATGTGACAGTGGGAATTTGAGAAATTTTCAGAAAGTTTTGGAAATAAAAATGAATGTATTTCTTACATAAGGCAATAGTTCTCATGAAGTAGTAGTGTGGGAATAAGGGGAAAACTCAAAGGAATATTTTCAAGCTTGTGGAGTTACTTGCTTTAAATTTCAAAAGTGAAGAATAACTCCAGATTTTACAGGTTTAAATATGAGCTGCAAGTGCTCACAGCATTCATCGATCTATCTAATTTTTGCTGCCAAATCTTGGGTTTCTGGATATATCTTCAGGAAGATTAGAAAAAGCTGGTTATAATGTGAGAATCTTCTCTTTTTAATTACCACTTGGAACATTGTAGCACCAGTGAAGAGAGTACGCATCTCGCACAAATGAAAACTAAAAGCACATTCTGAATATTTTCACAAAGCATCTGTACAAAAAAAAAAAAAAGGGATGTGGTACTTTGGCTATATTTTCATCATGTTTCAGCATATTAATTTTTTTCTTCTTACTTGAAGTTCCAACCAAAGAGGAAATTCAGGATACTGATTTGTCTTTTTCAGAATATAAATTTTGCTGACAACTGGTTATTGGTTTTCCCCTCATTTCCTTATCTTTTCACAGCACAGTACTGTCTGAAACATATTCCTCTCATAAGTACTGTCAGTTTGATTTAAGAAGGGAAAGCTCTTTTCAGTTCCACTGCCCAGAATAATACCAAGCTCTTTTTCACTGCAAAATTTGCTGTGTGGGAAAGTAGCTGTTTCATCATATAGCAGAGAGCAAGTGTTTGTAAGGAAGATTGCAACCAGTATAATCACCTCAATATTATTGTCCAAGCAGTTTCTTTCTCTTAAAGGTGCATTTACATCCACACTCTGTTTTTGTATTGCTTTACATGAAAACTGACATAGTAAGCAAGATCATACAAATAACAGCTTCTACAAATGCTTACAAAGAAAAGCTCTCTCTGGCATCCCATTCTTCTACATTCTTCTACCTGCCCATAAAGCAAAGCAGAAGGTTTTTAGTAGTGAAGAAGTGAAGGGATGTAGGACACAGCTTACAGATTACTATGCTTTAATTTTCTTTTCTCTCTCTCTTTTTTTTTTTTTTTTTTTCCACCCTAAATGTTAAATAATTTTGGACTATCACATATACTGTTATAGTACTGATCCTCTTATAAAGTCTCATTATTACATGTAAGAATAGAAACAAGGGAAATACAAAGTTAGTTCAATAAAGCGAGACAAAGACAGGCTAAGGAGATAAATTACTGTGGATTGGTCTAATCAAGTCCCTCCCACCAATACTCTGAATCACAGTATTTTGCTATTTAAACCATAAACAATCAAGTTTGTCAACAAACAGGTATTCCTGCTTCAGGCCTGGAAATAAATCAAAAAAGGTAAATCCAAGAGCGGACTGAAATTTTCTTAAGTCGTAGACAAGAACTTTATTAAACATTTCTTACTGCTCATATAAAGCAATTTCTATTTCTTATTTAAGTCATTAGATCACCTTCTTAAATCACAACCCCTTCAATTTCAATCACTCATTCCTGTAGAAAGACCATTAACTCTTCTTTGGTTGAATGTGTTACACTAATATAAAACTTCCAGAAAGACTTTTGGTTTTCATTTAAAAATAGCAAGAGATGTGCCATCTCCCTTACAGTTTCTTCAAAAGCTTCATCACTGTCATTGCTCGAAGCTCTGAATTTGTCTTTCTCTTGCTTTCAGCTGTCAGCTGCTAAACTAAGGAGGTATTATGAATGGTAGTCAGTAATGGTGAATTCTCCCTGGGCTCTATTTGCAAGCAGAGATGGGGCCCTCTAGGAAGCAATTCAGAGCACAGGAATTTAGGTGTTTCTAGCTGCTGATTATCCCCAGCTAATTATCCCCAGGAACATCTTATCTTTCTATATAGATAGGGAAAAGATGCATAAGAAGTAAGGTCTTGGGGATGAGAGTTAACATGCAAATATCATAGACTAGAGATCCATATATTTTCCCAAGGAATCCGTATGTTCCATTTTTTTAATGAGCTAAACAGGTTGAAATACTTAAGCAATACTTCCATCTCCCAAATCCAGAGAAACTTTATTTGGCTTCTTTTTTTGAATTTCTGATTTTGTGGATATCAGAAATACATATCCATCTCACTGAATGAGCTCACTAATGACGACATTTTTACGAAACCCCACTAAAAAGTTATATAAAGAGGAAGACTTTGTGCTTCTTATTAAATTCTTACAACATCTTTGTTTAAACAAAGGCAATTTATACACAAATCATACAAATCCAATGTGCCTTTTAAAATCATCTTTCTTAATTTGATTCTTATTTGCCCACAGTAATGACTAACTCAATTCCCAGGCAAGATTTTCCACATGCCTAATCTGGAGATTCAGATAAGTAAATTACATCAGTTATTTTGTTTCACATTCAGTTAACACGTAGAAGAATTGAGCACCTTCTTCCCCTTAAAATGTATTTTGAAGTTGTTATATTCTCCAGTAGCTCTTGTTTTTCCATTTCAGCATAATCAGTTTTGTTTTTTTTTTTTTCTAGTTTCCAGCCTTTATATGGTTATTTCATCTGATATCCTGTTGTTGTTGCCTTGATATGCCCATCTTCAACACAACACATGCACCTCCTTGTCAAAGTACATTTCCCAGAGATAGAAGGAATAATCTTCAAAAAACATCACTGATGTATTCGAATGGAAATAATTCTTTCACACAGTTTACATTTCAGTTACTATCTCCTGGACTGACATACGATCATTTGTGTATGTATCTTTGATTTTTGTTTTTGGTTTTTACAGCAAAAACATTTTTTACTTTTCTGTAAAATTTACATTTTACATTTACAATTTTTACATTTCTGACTTATTTTGTGATAATTATAGTTCTAATTATCTTTCTCAGCAGTAATATTGCTGAGACAAGTCCCCATTTTGTGTTGATGCATTCCATTTCTCCATCCTTACATGAAGTGCCATGCTCTCCCCTGTACTGTTTTATTTTTGTTGATACCAAATCAACTATGTAATTTAATACAGAAATTTTGAATTCTTATTCTGCCTTTCAGTACTTGAGAGGCAGGAAGTCATCTGTAGGTTTTACGAATCACTTCTAATGAGAATTCAGTCATTAAAATAGCTATCCAGTAACATGAGACCAAGATAGACCGCTCTGGTACTTACTGGAAATGTAATTTTTGTCTAGCAATCATAAGCTGATAAACACTATTATAGTATGTCACAGTGCAGTGCAAAATTTCCTTTATCTTTTGTGCTTTTCAGGCAGACACCTCACTTTGCTGGCAATTTCAGCAAATGTCTTTAAAAAAAAAAGAAAAGAAAAGAAAGAAAAGCAAAGCATAAATAGAATGAAGTACTTTAGTAGAATGAATATTTGAAAAAAAGTTCTGGTTGCTTTTTAAAATTTACAAAAATTTATTTCTGTATCAAAAACAGAAAGTCTGAAAACAACCATCAACCATGTCATAGAATCATAGAATCACAGAATGGCCAGTGTTGGAAGGGACCTCAAGGATCATGAATCTCCAAGCCCCCTGCCACAGGCAGGGCCACCAACCTCCCCATTTAATGCTAGACCAGGTTGCCCAGTGCCCCATCCAACCTGGCCTTGAACATCTCCAGGGACAGGGCATCCACAGCCTCTCTGGGCATAGAAGAACATTTAAACATTTTTTTAAGTTTTCTATTTAATACTTGAAAATGGAAGAAACTGCACTGTTCTAAGAAGGACAAAGTTGTTATTAACATGACCAACGTTTGTATGTGAGAATTCCCTTCAAATTCTATTTTTATCAAATATGTCCAGCTATTAGCTCCAGTTATTTGTTCTTGGTTGCTCTATGCATTGCCAGAAAACAAGAAATTTAAAAACTATTTTTTCCAAAGCATACACTAAACTCTGGAGTTAATGGAGATTACATGACAACTAACATTGTTTTTATACTTATTAATGCTTTTAAGATTTTCTTCCACCTCAGTTTGTAAAATTAATTAACAATGAATACAATTTTGCATGAATAATAAACCGTAATTAAATATCATTCCAGGAGCCTCATTTTTCCACTAGAAGAGCAATGAGTGAAACATACATTATTACTTCTGAAATATATTTTAGCAAAACTTCGGAGACACTACCTTCTATTGACAACTTGGCTTGTCCTGCCAGCGTATTCAATCATGTGCTGGAAAGGAGGTATCTAATTAAACTGATGAGCAGATCAGCTTGAAATTGTGTGCTAATTCACCACCTTGAATTGTTTAAGGCATTATCTACTTTAATTTTATTTTTAAATAAAAGTAAATACATTTTACATCTCTTATCTCTGCAGTTTACATAAATACATCTTAACATTATCCAGCTTTTTCCACAGCACCCTCAGTTTATTTGTGTAAGTGAGTGTTCACACAAGCATATTCATACATAATTAGCAGTATGAGGCTAATTTGTGACTAGTTGGTCAGACTAAGAGCGTGACAAGAGCTACGTGTCTAGTCTGTTGTTCAGCTAGAAAGAAGAATAAAAGACCACAGAATAGCTGTATTTCATTATACTCGTTTTGGGGAAGGAACTGGGAAAAACAAGATCAAGACAAAGGGAATTTTTATGTGAGAATCAGGAAGAAGACATATTTTGCTTTGATTCTAGAATAAGAAACAACTTTTAGCCCCCTGCTAACACAGAGCTGAGAAATTGTTAATCCACTGTCATAAACTAGCATAAGAATGGTTACCAGTATGTATTACAGCTGCATAATAATATTTAGGCACAGTTTTAAAAAATTAAATAGTAGTCATTTGTAAATTGTCCTTTTAGATTGGTATTCTAATTTGAAAAACATAGAAAAATCACACAGACGTCATTATGATTAAAGGACATTTAGTGTAAAATTAAATTATTTCCCATCAGAAATAGGCTATTTTTTGAATCTGATATCCATGTAATGATAAGAATAATAACAATAACACCTAGTTTTAATAAATCATATTTTATTAATTCATTTCAGCTAGTTGCAAATATCAGCTTCAATATTAAAGCATAATTACAGTATATGCCAGGTGAATGTCATACTCTTTAATTAATTACCATAGCAATAGTCTCATTACAGTCTGTGATAAAGAGTTCATTCATTTTTGAAGAACTGCACATTTCCATTAAATGTGAATCAAAAAGACTTTAAAATAAATAATTAAAAGGTGATGTGCCCTTTTATAGAAAACTTCAGGCAAAATGGAAGAAGTCTGCTTAACATGAAATGATGGAATTTCTCTGAGGAGTAGATTTTAGCAATTGAATGATGTCAAGCCTTCCAGTGTATAGATACAAACTGTATTGGCTTTTATCATTTGCCCACAAAATACTGATCAGCACAGGCTCTTTTGTTCCATGTCCTCTTTGGAACAGAGTCATGCTTAAGGTTTCATTAAAGCATAAGTTAGTCTTGGTGATAGGACACAAAAGTAGGCAACTCATGGTTAAAACACTTCCTTTACGAACATAAATGACAGCAAGACTCTTCTGCTGAATAGCAGGGTTTTTTATCTGACATCTGGATTTAATAAGAGGTATGAACTAGGTATACTCTGCCTCCTGTAGTCATCTACTTTGTCCTTATATGTTAGGTCCTTGGTAAAACAATATTTGTGAGAACAGTTCCTGGAGTCTCCAGTGTAGCCAGTGAAGGAATGGTACTTCAGGAGGTCTTCAGATGAAGAGCCAACATTTGAATGCACAGGACTTGCTTCTGGAAGTCTTTGATTACAGTTCACTCTCCATCTCTGTTGTCACTATAGAGAATGTTGCACTTGCAAAAAAAAAAAAAATTGTTTCATTATTCACTTACAGTGCAGGTACATACCAGGATTGTAACTTAGCTGGAAAGTGCTATCATAAGAAGATCTTATGGCAAGTGACTACTGGAATGTCATCGCATAGGTGCAGTAAAGAAAAGAGTTGAGAGGCAGATGAAAAGAACAAGGGGGATCACCAGCAGGCAGTGTTAGTTTTTATCCCACGGAGGAAGTATAAAGAAAAACAAAGCCTTTAACCAAGATCTGAAATCTTCAAGTCATAGTCCTTGATATCTAACATCACAGATAGTGCATAACAATTTTGATTTTAACATCAAAATGCAAACAAGTCTAAGAACTACTTTCATAGTACAGTAATAACAGTCATTTATTCAAACCATTCTGTTGCATTAGTTAACTCCATTAGTCCAATTACCATTAGTCAGTGAAAATACAAAAAGCAAATTACATAACAATTAACTTTTCAAGCAAAATGTGATTCTCAGACTTTGGGGTCTAAATTCTGTGGGTCTGAGGAGATTTGGGGAGAACCTGAATATGAAGACAGAAAGTTTTTAGAATCACTTGTCATTATAGACTACTTAAAAGCTACACTGAAGCATCTGAGCATGTGGCTTGTTTTTCAGTACTCAGGAAATCTGTTGGCTTACTGGGGCGAACTGAGATAACAATTAGGTGCCTATTCAGTAATTATAGGATAACAGGATCATAAAATAATTTTGACTGAAAGAGAACTCAGGAGGTCTCTAATCCAAATTTCTGTTGTGATCAGACCAGATTGCTCAGAGCTTTATCCAGCTAGGCCTTGGACCCCTACAAGGCAAATCTGCTCAGCCTCTCTAGCAACCTATTCCACTGCATCACCGCCCTTATGGGGAAAAAGCTTCTCCGCAGATCAGCTTAACTGAGTTTTTTTCTGACCATGTATTTCTCAGCATGTGTTCATTGCCTCTTGTCCACCCACCTATGCTCCACTTCATCATTTCAAAAAAATATTGTGAGGTTGCTAAGTTCCTCAAAATCATGTTTTCTCAAGGATGAATGAGCCAACATCCTTCCCCTTCTTTCTCTAGAAAAAATCTTCCAGATCCCAGCCATTGTAGCGTCCCTCTCAGTTGAACTCAGCTGAGTATGGGTCTTTCTTGCTTTGGGGTGCCAAAAAATGGATGGTTTACTAATGTACATAATTTCAAATATTTGTGCCTGCAAAATTTTTCTTCCAGCAGCACAGTATTTCCCAGTTCTTTGCTCACAATACTAGAGCTGGCCTATGCAGTGCAAATGCGTCTATGACTAAAATAACAAAATACATCTTACTGAGACAAATCCACTTTGTACAAGACCATTTCTGTGGAATGACGCTATGTTCCTCAGCCCTGGGTGAACTCAGTAGCATTCAGTGTAATACTTATGAATTAAAAGTATTCAGAGATATATTACAACAAAACTGGGCAGCAGGGAGAAATAACTAAACATAATTCAGAGAAAGAGAGGCAAATGGTCTCATTCAAAAACCTATTTGTTTTTGAGTAGAAATAAAAAACTGAAGAAAAAAAAGACTGATACCCAGGAAGCACTGCCTGTGGTTACATTGTACTGCTCATTTTACTGGTGGTTCCAGTGAACGTTCAGTCAGAAGGAATTCATTTGAATATGAGCTTAAAGATGTCTAAAATCCATGGTGTGTATTCAAATTATAAAGAATGAAATGAGTAAGTAGAATTACTTAACAATTAACACTCTGCATTCTGTACTCAGAAAGAAAAGCGCTCCACACTTGGATTCTGAGCAAGCTGTTAACTTATTTTCAAACTAATGTAGCACACACCAAGCCTCCCTTTTTCTTGGCCTGGCATGGAAAATTCAGAGGCTGAGGACTTCCATGGCCAGATTTCTACATCCACTGCACAACATTGTACGGCACTCACTTTTTGTATTCAAAAACAAAGGACAACAGACAAATACTATAAAGATATGTTACAAAGAATTTCCATGGCTCTGAGCATACACTGCTGCTCAGTTCTTTAAGTTTGCTTGACAGACAATACCTCCACTTTTGTGCCCCAGGTTTTGCAAGTAACTTAATCATAAGCTCTATTTCTTTGATTCTATTTCTTTGATCTTTGATCATCCTGGAATCCTGATTATCCTTGGTCTAAAGAGAATGAAAGTACTAAAAAGACAGAGGACACCAATTTTTATGCTGTTTACCTCAATGTAGAGTATGGGAATTTAGAGTAGCTTTTAAAAAATCTTTCAATTTGGGATAAAGCAAACGTGTTCAACATGCATCTCACTACAAAATGAAATAGAGTACTGGTAGGAAGTTTTGACCTCTTCTGCTATACCACCAACACCCAAGTTAATAAAATAGGAGGCACTACTTTCAGGGCAGCTCTTGCAGACATGTACTTCCCGTTTGGAGAAATCCTAAACATACATCCTAAATGTAGAGTAGCAGCAGAGTAACCAACAGTGTTCTTTCCAAGGGTATAAAAATGTTTGATTACATTAAAAAAAAAACAAACAATACAGAATCAAGACAGGGAAAATCAGCTACAGAGAAGTTGTCTTTGTATCCACAAGGACCGGAGTACACTTCACAGAAGTGCTCCTGGCAGAACATTTTCCTGCAGGTGGCCAGAACCCAATCAACATGCTTCTATTCTTTGCTTATAAGTGAATGTTCATCAGCACTGCTATTTGTTAAGATTTCTAGAGCTCACCAAAGATTATGCTGGAATACATTTAGGAATTCTGACTTCACGTTGATTGATTTCACATTTATATTCATGTTATGAGTCAATGTTTGCACATTAATAAGATATAAATGTTAGATAACTAATAGGCATTTGAAATGAGTGTACTGTTGTTAAGAAAGAGGGCTTCAGATAACCTTAGAGAATGCAAACACCTGTATACAAAGTCCAGGAAGAATGGTTAAGATGTGTACTTATATATAAAGCAAAATTTTTAGCAATACTTCTGAAAAAAACACAGCCTTTAGTATAACACTCACAGGAGCAGTTTCTGGAATACAAAGTATAACAAAAGCTGCTGCATGAAGTGGGAGGAAGGTGAGGCACGGCCCCCACAGAAATGCAGAAATCTCTCTATGACTAGGATAAACAGTTTCAATATCTCATTTTCCCAATGAAAAGTTCCTATCAATAGATGAATTAAAATGAAAGATCATCTGATTTAGAGCTCTGTAAATGTGTAATGACTGAGATTCAGAGACATCAGTTATACTCTCCACTTCATTAAACTGATTAGCAAGTATATTCAGCAGTGCTTCAACAGAGACTCCTAAAGGCCAGTCAGGTAGGAAATTGTTCATATTCTCTGATAATAAGAGTTTAGCAACTAAGACTGTGCTAAGACTGCAAGTCAGTACTTGACATGAAACACCACAAAACAAAGTATTTAAGAGAAATTGTACAAGCGATTTTTATATATCTGGAAGGAAAGAGAAATTTGTTTGTAAAGACAGCATTTTAACCAGTAAACAGCAAAGCGTGGATTTCTATAAATGATTTAGGAGCACAGCTCTGATTACTGTCAAGGAACAAATGAGTCTCTGGATTCTTAATAAAATTAATTATTTGTTCTTGTGAAGGACTGTTATCAACTCTAGTGTCAATACCTTTTAAGATTTTAATATCAAGTTAATTTGCAGCAATATGAAGTCAGTTGTGAGAGCCATCAAATTTCTGTTCATCTTGATTTTTTCCACCTTACAGTAATTCCACACTACATCAGATAAGTTTTCAAATGCATATGTCTCATGTTTTGGTTTGTATACCAAGCACCTACCAACAATCCTCTAAAGAACAAGTCCACTAATTTTTTTTTTTTTAACTCTGGATGTCACTTTGGAAACTGTGCTGTTGAAAAATTCTAAGCAGTACAATTGAATGGCTAATAAAACCTCCCTTCTTTGGCTGAGGAAAAGAACTATAATTTGATGTGGGATGGGCAGATATCACTACTGACCTGGTTGACTCAGGAAACGTGGAGTAAATTCAACTGTTAGTTAATCTATTATCCACCTCTAAAGCCTGTTTTTTTCAGAGATGAAATAATCAGAAGCTAATTCAGATGTGAATAAAAATAATATTAGAAAGTATAATTAGTCTGACTCCATTAATTTTCATTTTAAAAAAATACCTGTAAATTCTGTTTCTTTGATTAGTCATCTTTATGGTATCAGACCACCCCCTCCCGTAATCAATTCATGCTGAAATTTTTCAATCCCAGATGATCTGAAAGGACAAATAATGTCCTGGAAACTCAAAATGAAAAAAAATACCAACTTTCTTCATATCTGCCTGTCAGTCAGTAAGGCAAAAACTCCTCCTCTTCTAACATTTTCAGTAAGGAGATAGCTCACTTTCCTTTTTCTACTTGTTCTGTACTGTTATACTGAACTATGCAGGAAATGTGAACTAATTTGTTCACATTTTGAAGACTGAAAGCAATATCTTCCTGATAGTTATTTGCAAACCTATGATAAGTAGCCTATTTGGTTGAGAAGGGATGTGAAACTGGAGTCACTTTAAGAGGAAGGAGAGCATACAAAGTTAATAGAACAGCTGTATGAATCAGTTTGCTGGTAATGTCATAATACAGGTTGACAGAAATGTTCCCAAATAGCTGTTAAATACCCATGGGAGAAATAAGGCTTCTGTATTTGAAATGAACTGCCCTCTAAATCTCTGGAATAAAAATGTGCAGTAGACAAAGAGGCAATAGGAATTTGAATGGTGAGAAAAGTTACATGGAGAGGTAAAAAATAAATATTTGTGATTGGTACTTCTGCATTTTTCCAGACCTTGAGTACAAATCTATAATGCACATATAATACGTGTATGTGTGACTGCATACACAGACATTAGGGATACATTTCTATTCTAATGGCTACAAAAGGTAATAAATGAAGTGAGGAAAAATAAGGTGGTACTTTGCTATTAATTGACTCAAAACACGCTAA